GAAGCGTTGCTATAGTTAACATGGGAATTTGGGATCACCAGATTGCAATTTATCTCATTGGATTTTCTGCATTTGGTGTTTTGATAATTTTACTTTAATTTGGAATTTGTACATGAATAAGACCAGGAAAAACTCGAAAATTTAAATCCTATAATTATTTGGTTGTCCAGGTGGAGCGAATGATTACACTATATTGTCTTTTGTGTGCATGTATGTGTGTTGTCAGTCTTGAAACAGCCACGTAAAGCCGGGGACACACCCTATACGATGTTTACATGTGATAGCCATATTTAGTTGTAATCTATTGACCAAGCAAAACGCATGCAGCAAAGCATGCAGATTCCATTCAGGTGTGTCGCCATTAGTGGCGATAATGCACACTATATGGAGCAGTGACACCAGTCCATGAATTTAGATTTGAAGTAAACGTCCACAAATTTTTTTGAGATTTTGATGACACTATAGTATAATTTGCAGCCCTGTCGCTCGTCAGATAATTATGAACCTAGTGCGACAGGATATGAAACGATAAAACATGTTTTTGACAATAAAGCAAACAAAAAATACTGATACTGCATAATGCCTGTAATTTTGTGTGGTAAGTTTCAATCCTATGTTATGGCAACAATTTGTGCAAAAAGTACATATAATTTTTACATTGGGAAAACATTAAGGATGGCGAACTAAGATCGCGTGAACTCTGGTGCATTCTCGGCCTCTTCAAATCCGGGCTGATATTTATTTTCATTAGAGAATATATCAGAGATTAAATGTGTTTATGCAATAAAAATAGTTAACTTCTAGCACGAGTTGTGATGTGGGTCGTTATAATATGTTATTTATGCAGGGTTCAATTTCATTGACCAATCAGAAGCAGTCTGTTGTCAGCGGGCGGGAGTTTGCCATTTGCTGTGCTTACGGGCTGTGCTCACTTTCATACTGCTTCTCACACTGTGAACTCGATTTCCCACCCACCCACCCGATGATAGTGTTTCCCCCTTGACTGCGGTGGCGCCGGTTGCTTGCCGGGTTTGTGTTTTCAGGCTGCTTGCCTGTGCTTGCTGGCTGCTTGCCGGGTCTACCTCCGGCTGTTTTTTGCCGGTCCCATGGGCTGCCTGCCTGCCCCCCCCCCCTCTGGCTGTTTGCTCGATCTCGGGCTATTGTCCCCTCCCCGTGCGGCTGCTTGCCGGGTGTTCGGCTGCTTGCCGAGGTGTGTATCTGTGCATCAGCATATTTAATTTTTGTGATTTGTTCGTCTGCTTGTACGTGCGTTTGTCCCCTCACCATTATAGTCCTTTTGTTTGTCCGTGAAGTGCTTATTCTCTGTTGTGTGTGTCCTTGGCACAGTGTAAATGGTGGGGGTAGTCCTTTTTGTCATCCTTGCTAGCAATGTCCGTGTTGTGTTCGTTATTTGCATTATGCCGCACCCGCTCGTCGGGCTTGCTCTCCGGCTAGTCCGGGTGATTTCTTTTAGATTGGTATCCTGCGTTATCCAGCGTTTATTTTTTTTTCCCCCTTTGGTCGGTAGGTGCATATAGTTCGTTGTGCTCGGCTTCGTATGCTTACCAGGTAAGATATCTCGTACGTTCATGTTACTATTTTATTTATTAATTCCGTTTCCACCTGTGGTGTGACGTTAGCTCTGTCCTTGGAG